AATTGAATATTTTGATTAGTCTCAAAACAAAACCTGTTTTGCATAAACTATAATATAATATAATAAAACATAATATATTTCAAAAAAAGAAAAAAAATTTTAGCGAAAGAAGAGGAAAAAAATTTTCAAGTCGAGAGGCGCGGATTAGGGTTTGATTTTAGACCCATGGTTTCTTCAGAGAATTTTCTTAGAATTTAATGTAGATTACGTTTTTGCTATACGATTTTTAATTTTTTTTTTCATCCATACAAATCAACCCGCCCTAGTGTATATACTTCTGCATATATCTGTGCATAGTAGTATGCATGTGGAATAGCCTGCAGAGCAGCGCGCTGTATTAGAATTATTCAAGGCAACTTTTGAGTAAGCGTGTGTTACAGTTGAAACAATACCTTTTTGATTATAACTAATGAGCTGTTGCCTAGCTCAGTGGCATGGAAAATTCATAATAAAACGGTTATTGAATATGATTTTCATCCATTTTTTCTAATTTGTAACATAAGTAGCAGCAGCAGTGTAAGATAGTGGCTAAGCATTGAAGAAGAATTTACACCATTGCATTTGTACAAATTTTGGGAGCAAATTCCATTCGTGTTAATATTCTAACAAGCATTGCTGAGCTTTAATGGGCTGATCGTTAAATACAATCAAAAAGTAATAATGGAAAGGAAAGATCAAAAAGCACATTAGGTAGGTAAAATAATAAGAATCTCGAGAAGCCAAGAAAATGATTCCGATTAATTTCAAAAAAAAAAAAAAAATCCAAATGCCCACAAAACTTACATATGCACATATATATAAGTGTTGAAACTTGGTTATACGAATCTAAGATATTGATAACAGCAGGATATTTATGTGAATCAATTACCCCATGTCTGTGTGGCATTTCAAAAAGTGCCAGCTATACATTCAATTTTGCTGAAAACAATATTTGGTTTTTTAAGTAAAACTCTCACATTTGCATATAATGTATCAAATATGCAATCTTTTGCGGCATTGGCCGACCAAACTAAAATCCCAAATGAATTGCACTAATAATGAATTTCGCACTGCCGCGCTAATGGCTATGAACTGCACTGACCAGCAGTAAAAAGTGAGTAAATAAAATATGCAAACTAAATATGGGAAAATTTCCCATGGGAAATGCACAAAAAAAATTAGCGAAAATACGCGTAGTCGACTGCTAGGAAACTGCGACTTGCAAAAACTCGCGATGCAATAAACTAAATAAAGCAAAGCAAACTACTTCACAAGGCAAACTTCACACCGCTCACCAACACACACCCTCGCCACCAAGCAACCTTATTGCACACACAAATTTGCCCCGGCGGTTGTACCGGCCGGCCATACCAGCGCTCAAAGCGTTGATTGGATGCCTCTTGAACTAACATGCGGTTGGCGGTTATCACTGTAAATACGGCGGGGGAGGGTCTCACTGCAATGCTGACACCAATTTGTCGTTGTGTCTGTTGTTATGCCAACTGTGGGTTGGTTTTTGCGCTTTGATTTTATCATTTTATAACTGTACTAATTTTATTGTATTTAGTTATTTCAAGAAAAAAACAACTAAAACTTTTAAATAATAAAATCGCACTAAAATGCGAGTACTTGTTAAAGAAAAAAATTCAACGATGCTCTGTACATTGGCTGTGGCGGCGCATTTTATTACATCGCTAATTGAAGATTTACATGAATGCTTATAAAGCGAAATTGATTATAAAAGATATGGCAGCAGGAAAAGTGAATTAAATGGCCGGTCAAGTTGGCTAAAAGGCGCTTAGTGAGTTAGGCGAGTTTGTCTCCTAGCAGTGTGTGGGTAGAAGCGAAGCCGGTTGCTATTACTTTTGTATTGCATAAAATGGAAAGTTTGAAAAGTGATTGGAAAAATATTAATTGGGATTATTTATTTATTACCAACCGTTAAAAAAGATTAAAAAGATTTCAAAAATCTGTCGTAAACTTTTGCATATGTAGATATGTATGTACTTGTATCCGTCACTTTGTCTCTATTGTTGCAAGTTAAATTATTTAGAAGTGATACTAGATAAGACATCCAAAGTAGTACTTTTATTCAGTTTATATCGGCATAGTGATCAAGAGGACAAATAACGCAAAGAAACAAATATTTTGATACACATAACTGCATATAAATAATGAATGTATGGAGTCCCTACGCGCGGAAGGACTGAAACCTCATAAACCAATTTCCAGATAGGAACAAATTTGCAATATGTTCTCTCTACGCCTTTGCTTTGGTCTTTGCCTTGTCTTGCTCTTCATCGTAATCTTAATCTTAATCTTCATCTTTGCCTACATATTTGTCTTCCTCTCCATATTCCTCTTCCTCTTCATAATCATCTTCATCTTCATCTTCATCTTCATCTTCATCTTCATCTTCAT